CACCACACTTCAACCAGGGTGAGTAGGCACAGCTTCAGTGGAGTCATCCAGCAGAACATCAGAGTCTTAATGCTTTCCAGTAGTCAGCTTTTTCCAGAGCTCCCAGTTAAGAAAACTCCTTTCCCATACAGTTCAGTTCAAAGTATAAAGTGTTAACTGCCTCATGACACAAGACAAGCATAAACACACTATCTAAATAAACTTTAGGATATGTTGGTACACCATGAACTATGCTACTACAATACAGTTCTGGTCATAGAGAGAAGCATTGTAAAGACCCAAGTTTACAGAGAGATCCACTAGCACTTTACCATGCTAACTCACCATGCCTAATCTTTAGCCTATAGCAGGGGTAGGCAACCTAAGGCCCAGGGGCCAGATATGGCCCAATCGCCTTCTCAATCCAGCCCGCGGATGATCCGGGAATCAGCGTGTTTTTACATGAGTAGAATGTGTCCTTTTATTTAAAATGCATCTCTGGGTTATTTGTGGGGCCTGCCTGGTGTTTTTACATGAGTAGAATGTGTCCTCTTATTTAAAATGCATCTCTGAGTTATTTGTGGGGCATAGGAATTCGTTAATTCCCCCTCTCCCCCCAAAAATATAGTCTGGCTCACCACATGGTCTGAGGGACCAGGCCACGGCTGAAAACGGTTGCTGGCATATAGCATGCAACCTTCAGCTTTTACCACTGATACTTCATACCGAGCAAAAACACTGCACTCGATGCATAACTCACATTCATAACAATGTCTGCTGAATGCAGTGCTGGCTTCATACCCACCACTGGATGTACACACATTCCTGAGAGAAAGGGAAGGTGTATGAGTCATGTTTTAGACCTTGGGCTTTGGACTGTGTCTAACCACCCAGTGCAGCTGGGTCTTTCTCTAAACAAGATCCATTCATGGGGGGGATGCATTCCTCGAGACAGCCCAAGCACTGGCAGAGGAAGAAGAGTGGGGGGCGAGCGTACTGCCCCCAGCAGCACGATCTCAGTAGGGTGCCATCGCGGATTCCCCACCCACCCACGCTGGGCGCCATGCCCCCGCAGGCAGTGCGCCATGTCCCAGGACGCGCACCAGCCCTGCCCCGCCTGCTCTCTGCCCCCCCTGGAGCCGGAGCATGAAGCCACTGGGCCCAAGCACTTAAAACAATTCCACCCATTTTTTCCCCCAAATTATACCAACAATGAAGAGGGGACACAACAATTTGTGGATGCCCAGTCTATCTTACTTTAACTTTTATTTGACCAATAGACCCCCTTTTTTCCATCCTATATCACACTCTGCTTTTGCTATGCAACAAGGGGAGTCAACTCTAAATGAAACATGAATCCTCATCTTCCTTTGGTATGTGGAAGCTGTTATATGCAGGGCTCACTTCAAGCTTACAGGAATGGCAGCCATCCTGTGAGGTTCTGCCTTCTACACAAACTGCCTCCAGACCCATTTTCTTTTTAAAAACAAACCTTTTATGGGGTGCTCTTGAACTAAGAGGCCACCATATTTGGGGGGGGGGGGGCAATGGTCATTTTTACCAACATAACGACATGGTAGCAGTTATTTTCTTCTCTCTATAATGCTCTGAAGTTACTTAAGTTCCAGGACACTGACGGCAAATCCAAAATGGTGCATGGAAGCTGCTTGCCATTGCTATGGCCCCACCAAAAGGTAATTGCTTCCATTTTACAAATGGGCCTGGGGTGGACCCTCCAAGGGCTTGGGGGCAGCTACCAAAGTGTACCTTGTGGTGGTGCCAGGCCTGGTGAATGGTTCTTTAGACCCTGCCCATGGGCTATGAAAGGCTTCAACTGGAATAAAAAAAGGATCAAGGTGCAGTACAACTTTGTGCCCTGTTGAATGCTGCTCTAGCCTTCACAAGTGACTTTTATGGAGAAGGTAGGAAGGGAGCTGAAAACCCCCAATGTGCATGCAGTACAGTCAGAGGCAGTAACACTTCTAAATACCAGTTGCTGGAAACCATGGTGAGGGAGTGTGCTGTTATGCTCAGGCACCTGCTTGTGGGTTTTCCATAGGTACCTGGTTGGCTACTGTAATAACAGGATGCTCAACTAGATGGACTATTGACTTGATCCAGCAGGCTCTTCTTCTGTTCTTACAACATGCATGACTTTTTGGATATTGGTCATCATCTCTACCCACTCTTTATAGACCAGGAGGCTCTGTTTGGAAATACATAACATAACGAATGTTCCAGTCTTTACATTTCACATTTTTTTCTGATTATTAGATCATTACTCTCAGCACAAACCAATTTAGGTTTATATTATCAAGAATTGGTGATAGAGTCTGATCTTTGACCTTCAGGTTAATGAGAAGCTCCCCTGTGTAATTGCTGTGTCTTCAGATGGCATTGTGCTGTGTAATCTTCATTGCTGTAAAAATGACATTTAAAGTTTGTTTTACATGAGCAAGTAGAAGAACATTATTTCTGCAGTGAGCAATAATTATCTGCCTCCTGGCTGAAAATATATGCAGCAGATAAATTGTGTTCATCTGGTAGCCTTTGTTTGTAAGACAAGTTAATTAAAAGAGGAATGTCGAAAAATATGTCTGCCCACTGGGTGTTGATAGAGTAATATTATTTTTCAAGGAAATATTCTGCACAAACATCCTTTTGTTTTTGTTTTAAAGATATGGATGAACACAAAGTCCTTCTGCATAAAGAAAAGGAGAAAGAGAGATAAAGGAAGTGTCAATGGTACACCTTTTACCTTTCCAAAACAAACATTATGTTACATTCCAGCAAAAAACAAAATTGGTTTAAATCAGGAGGATGACGACAAAAGAACAGGGGAGAATGGTCACAAAGGAAGGAGAGTTAAATTACAGATTATTTGACAAATCCTTTTTATAATACAAAATAGGTTGGGTAAAGTTGGGGAAAACTGAGGCAAATTAGTTTAGAAGTAGGTGGAAGCAGGAGTAAGAAAATTAAAAGTACACCAGGTCAAGAAGTGGTAGATCAGCCAGCCAGGATTCCAGGACAACATAGGAAGGATTGTGAGAGAGCAAGGAAAAGAAAAACAGAAGACTGAGCAGGCATGTATATGGTCAGGCATAACTCTTTTTATAAGAGTTGCTCAGAGGCCAGAAAATGCAAGGAAGCTCAAAGGATCTAATGTGTTCTTATACTGAAAAGTAGGGAGCTGCTCCTCACTTTTAATCAGTTTCTTTCTTTGTAACCAGGAAGAACCACACATGGAAAATATACTATTTATAATGCAAACTTGGGCATGCCAAATCCATGAGATATATTCAATACGCTAAGAGTAAATCCAACTGACACTATGAGCAGTAGACTGATGAGAATTAACATTTCTATGTGGCCTTAATCTAGGAGCACTAGATGGCCTTTTGTAGCTAACATGGAGGTAGAGGACAATCAAAACAAATTGTTTCCAGTTTGCAGTAGCTTCCAATTTGGCAACAGTGCATTACCATTTTATCTATATGAAATGCTGGTGTGGGGGAGGGAGGGAGGGAGAGAGAATAAGAAAGCAGTTGGATTTGGAAGATATCTGCTGATTTAGCTTGCTTTTGACTTACTTTTGTGAAGTTAGAAAATTGTGCAGCATGTGTCTTTTTAATAATCGACTTGGTTTAGAAAATCATACATAGACAAATACTCCTTGGATCAATGGGTCTCTATATGCTTTTCCTTGAGATGCAACATTTCAAAGATTTTAAATATTGATTTCAAAAAGTCTCCATTAATGTAGCAACCTGGCTCAATTATACTTAAAACATTTGTCTTAAAGTTTTTGATCAAAATGCATAAAATAACACACGTTGTCTTCTGCAAGGGTTTCGCTATTTTTGTTATAAGTTCTTCGCTAAAGATTCATTTACTGCTCAATGCAGCCTAACCTCTGCATTCATTTTCTTTTAGTAATATATAGAAAGCTACAAATAAATTTTGATGGCAAAAATAACTGCTCAGCGAACAGAAGGCAACACTCATGTATGAATGTTTAGGAGGTCAAGTGTATTATAATAATGTGCCATAAAATGATGCATATGATAGGATAGTGTGGATGGGAGCCAAAGTACAAATTACAAAAAGCTTACAAAATGACGTAAGTCTAGAGAGTTATTGTGAAAGTAATTTCCAGTAGCAGTTTGGCTGTTAAATAGTTGAGGGGAAGGGGGAGGGGAGTTAGGATTTTGTTTCTTTCCTAAAATGCACATATCTCAATGATGGAAATAGTGCCTAAACATATTTTTTGAAATCAACAATTTATTTATTTATGTATTCAAGATCTTTTACTGGAGACCTGCAAGGCTCTGTGTAATTAAAATAATCATTCCCATTCACCTCTTTTTGCCTAAAGGAGGAAAAAACAGCCTGCTCATTTATTAGACTAGGCAGCCATTTCTGCTTTTACTGAATAGCTGATGCGCTACTGCATCTCCAAACATTATTAAAAGGTGCCAAGGCATTAGAGTTCTCAAATGGTGGCACATTCTCAGAGTCTAGGGTCCATGGGTCTGCATTAAATCCTGGATTGCTGAAGTGCTGCTGCATGCCATCGTTCCTATGAGAAGCATAGAAATAGCACGTGGTAAATCACAGCCCTCTAATGGAAGGCAGTATGCAAGGGAAAGAGACTATTCTGTGTGTGATATATTCAGGACACAAATCCGAGACTGAATCATAGAATTGTAGAGTTGGAAGGGACCATGAGAATCATTTAGTCCAGGCGTTAGCAAACTTTTTCAGCAGGGGGCCGGTCCACTGTCCCACAGACCTTGTGGGGGGCCGAACTAATTTTTTTTTTGGGCGGGATGAACAAATTCCTGTGCCCCACACATAACCCAGAGATGCATTTTAAATAAAAGGACACATTCTACTCATGTAAAAACACACTGATTCCTGGACTGTCCGCGGGCCAGATTTAGAAGGCAATTGGTCCGGATCCGGCCCCCGGGACTTAGTTTGCCTACCCATGATCTAGTCCAACCCCCTGCAATCTTTTGTCTATTGTGGGGCTCAAAACCATGACCCTGAGGTTAAGAGTCTCATGCCATGCCACTGAGCCATCTCAAACAATACTACTGTTAAAAGCTAGTAGGATGATTCTGGTATTACTTTGTATTATGAAATTTATCTCATGTTTCATTTGGACATGGCAATTCCAAAGGGTGCATCTGATAAAGGGGTAGCATTTTAAACAACTGCTCTAAGGTGGCTTTGAACAAGCAGAATCAAAGGGTAAAGTTTTCCCTTGTCTGTTAGGGAAGGTCTTAAATGTTTGAATGCTTATCTGCAAGAAAAATGTCCAGACAATTAAAGGAAAAGCCATTACCCCAAGACTATTAGTAGAAACGATTCAGCAAGAGCCATTTTCATATGGATTTTTCATACTGTCATTTGGCAACTGTGAACGGTGAATAATGGGATTATGCCTGCTGATCCCGGCTGCTTCCCCCAACTTACATGAATACATTGTAACATGTGAAAAGGACCTCAGGCTGCACACACTCACACTTTACATTTGAAACTCATTTAAAGCACACCCCCTCCCCATAGAGGAAGACATTTGCATTTTCCAGACTAACTGGTGAGAGTCACTTCTCACTTCTACTGAATGTGCTAAAGAAGACCCATAATCAAGCAAAGCAGTTTCACTCCATATAACAGTTAATTGGGAAGGTGTGCTCCAAAACGAGCTGATCTTAAAATTGCATCAAAGAAGTTTAATCCAGGGAACTGAGAAAAAAAAGTGAAAACTGAGAACTAGAAGGAAATCAAGATGAACCTCAGTGGATGCATGATACGTTTGGGAAATCTGAAAAACAGAGAAGCAAAAGTCAACCCACAGGTTTAAAAAGATGTCCTTCAAAACAGAGCTAATGCACTTGACAAAAGTGGGAGATGGCCCTCTGCAGCAAGGAACCATTGTCTCTACACTGACATGGTTTTAAATTAAAACAATACTTGATATGAGAAAATAACACTGAATGCCTTTCTGCCAGTTCCTCTCTTTAGTTTGATGTTTTGCCAATACAAAGGAGTGATAGCAGAAGAGCTACACTCCACTTGGCTAATACAGTAGCTTCTCAGTCATGGTGTGCAGAGCAATTGGATTATTGTATCCACGGAACTAAATTAGGAGTTATTTCTATGTTACAAAGGATCCCTGCATTGAGAGAAACTTAATTTAACTCTGTGAGGTTGGGACTTGCTTAGCGAATATCTGCCTGCTGCATTTTAGTCAACCAAGCTGCAAATGGTGGGCTTTACCCCACCCAAGCAGCCAAACAAGAGGAAAATACCTCCTCTTCCCACTCCCGCTATGTTTTAATGAAGGCAGGGGAAATGGTGTACACTTGTGTCACGTTGAGGGTGGAGTACTTAGCAGTGAGTGAATAAAAGAGCATGATACAGTTGGTGAATAAATGAGCATGACAATATTCAGTCGTTTATTGTTGCATTTTCACAATACAGCTCTGTGTTATTTGAATATTTCACGGCCACTTCTGCAGCACTGTCTACGCATCCTCACAGCGGAGAGAGTCCTTAGCATTCTATTAAGAAGGGCATTTTCAGCCAGCTGTACTTATTTCAGAAGCAGTGGGATAGATATCATACCACCGGAGCCCTTGGGAAGGGTCAGGACTCAGGAGGGAAGGAGTCTGGTCTTTGAAGATTATCCATAACAGCAAAAGAAAATGCTAGTTTTGGTTTTTCCTGTACTGGGCTTGCAAGAGTCGGCTTATGCAAACTTTGCTGCTAGACATAGACTGCTGAAGTGCCAGGTATGACTGAACTTGGTGAATGTCTAGGAGGACGCCATTGTAGTAACTAGGAGTCATTTCACTAGCAGCCAGTTTCCTAAGTCTTCAAATATATACCGTATTTTTTACTCTTTTTCTCTCCTAAAAAGTAAGGGGAAATGTGTGTGCATCTTATGGAGCGAATGCAGGCTGTGCAGCTATCCCAGATGCCAGAACAGCAAGAGGGGACGCTGCTTTCACAGCGCAGCGATCCCTCTTGTTGTTCTGGTTTCTGAGATTCAGAATATTTTTTTTCTTGTTTTCCTCCTCCAAAAACTAGGTGCGTCTTATGGTCTGGTGCATCTTATAGAGCGAAGAATACGGTGTATATATAAAGCATACACTTCCTATTTGGTATATATTAGAAAGTCTGCTGGTATTATTATTATTATTATTATTATTATTATTATTATTATTATTTTCCTGGGTGCATTGGAAAGGGTGAACATTTGTCCTTCAAATTATTTTTTTAATGATAGGATATAGTTTGCATCCCTATTCACTACTTGAAGATGATGACTATCTGAAAATGACTTACACATATTCTGTGCACAAATGGGGGAAAGTTGCAACTAAATTTCAACAAGTCCTTGAGGACTTCAGTCAGTGATAGATAAAACTATTCACTGCTTTCAACTGGGCTTAGGGTCAAGCTGCATATTACTTGCAGTTGCATGTAACTGTCCTTTGAGTTTTGTTTTGTTTTTCTCAGTGAAAAGCTGCTGAAGGGGGCTGTATTTCAGTATGCTAAAGGAGACCCAAGGCCATGTTGTACAGCATCCTATTCCCACATTGGTGAACCAGACGCCTAGGAGAAGCCTAGCAGACTTGAGCACAACAGCACTCTTCCTACTTGTGGACCCTAGTAACCAATATTCAGAAGCATACCACCCTAGTGGACCCTAGTAACCAATATTCAGAAGCATACCACCTGTTATACAGGAGGCAGTACACAGCCACTGTTACTGGTAGCCAATGATAGTGTTAGCCTACATGCAAGTGTCTAATCTTTTTTTTAAAGCCATCCAAATGGTAATGATTAAAGAGTGCAAAACTATTCGAAACCATGCCACCACAATCTGATTACACACATAGACAACACACAGAGAGAGTGAACAAGATACTACTCCTTGTGTATTTTCCTTCCAGGAGAGAAAAGCAGCTGGGGAAGATTTTGAATAAAACAAAAATAAAAGCTTGAGTAAAAAACCATTAAGCACCCTCTCATTTCCAGTGTCTCTCTACTTAAGTTTACACCTTCTTGCCTGGCGTGCTCTGGTCCATGGGGTCAAGAAGAGTCGGACTTGACTAAACAACTAAACAGCAACATAGTCTTTTTTAAAAAAGACAAGAAAGTGTAATAATGTGCCATCTGTCCCTTGAACACAAAATACCATTTGTGGAGATATGCACTGCACTTTTAGTCCAAAAATAGGATTCTACAGTGATTCTTGCAGCCTCCCAGTAAATAGCTGCTCCAGAAGAAGAACTGTGAGGGGAGAGAGACTTTGTGCTGGCCACCACACAATTATTTGTTGATATTAAATGTTATTGTTTACTATTATATTTTAATGGATTATTGATTATTGCTTTATTTTATATAAGCTGTTTTAAAGTTATTGTGACTTTTTGTATTGGATCCATTGGTTCTATGTGTGTGATATAGCATGTTCTCCCTATAGGAGAGCACATGTTGCAGTGGGGGCCAGCAGGCCACCCCACTGTTGCTGGGAAGATACGTTTGGATGGTCACGGGCTGTGATTGAGCAATGTGAGTCTCTGGGGAGATTTTCATGTTGCTAATTTGAAGGAGGGGTCAGAGGTTTTAAATACTGGTCACACAGCTTTGGGTGTTCTCTTGAATGGGGGGTGGTGGTGTGCTTTGAGCTTGCTATGCCCGTCATGGGGTCGTCTGCTTTTGGGGCAGCGGCCTGGTAGGAATTTTGTCCATTTGGCTGATTGGCTGCTGCCATTTGGTTTTTGCCTACTGCGTAGCAAATCGTCACAACTTGTAAGGTTGGTGGTTAGGCATTGGTTAAATTGGTTGGTGGAGGGGTAAGTGCCTACCCCTCCAATGCTGGTGCTGCAAGGGGATTCTGTTAAAGGAATCCAGGGGCTTGCTATCCTTTCATCCTAGTCCCTGGCATCAGGCTTGGGCCGTGTAAGCCCCCGGGAGCATGCGGGTAAGAAGTGAGGGACTGATGCCCAGCTTCATTTCTCCTCAATATTGTTTTCCCTGACTGGCTTCCGCTGGAATCCGGAAGTCAGTTCTGTCCCTGGGGCAAGGACAGATAGTCGTAACCAATGCCTAAGCAACCACTCACATGTGTGTATTTAAATAAAGTTGTGGCCCAAAATCATGCCAAAACCCTTAAACAAAAACTGATGTGTGAAGTGTGAGTTATTTGGGGTGGCTTGGGCACCTCGACAGGCAATTGCTGTCTATTTTGTTGTTTCTTCATTTTGTAAAACGCCTTGTGTATAGTGAAATAGAAAGGCGGTATACGAATTAAAAGTGAAATGAAATGAAGTCGTGTACATTATGGGGCATGAAACACTCTATTTAGACTAGAATGCAAAGGCAAACAAACATGCTCTATAAATCAAACTTCTGAAACACTGTCTGATTTCTTGACCGTGACATGGCAATCTGCAGAAATAGTTGTCAGGCAGAGTAATAAGCTTCTTTGCATTAGCTAGTTTTAATGACCTTGTTAGCACAGGGCATTAACTTTATTGCAGCAAAATGGAAAGATTGTTTACAGGTTAAAGTTCCAGTATTGTGATTATGATAATCTTACATATGGGATGAACCAGTTCCGAAAATATGAAGTCTCCTAGAACTCTATATGTCTTCAGTTATTTTGACGGTTTTAAGTGTCGGTGAACGACTCTCCTGTGGATGCATTTTCCCCATATCAGATTGTTCCAGCTGCAGTAGGTATTGCATTTAGTCAATTGTTCCAAACTGCCATTTTAGTAAGACACTTGAAACATGAAAAATCACCTTTAATACCGCCCACCAGTTATAGATTTACCATTTATCTCAACTTGCTGCTACGGTGTGAATCCTGCGGCACCGATGAGTATGAAACATTTTTTGTTGTTTTGGGACAAAGCTTGTCTTTTAACAGTGCTTTGATAAATAGCATTACCAGACATTTGCAGTTTGTTTGTTTGTTTGTTTGAAGTTAACTTCATTATAAGTTTTTGGTTCAATGGCAGAGTCTTCTATGCAGCATATGATTTTGGAAGCACAACAAACCTGGGGCTGCACCAGAATAAACACAGTGAAATCAATGGGCCTACATTAGTCTATTAATTATCATTATTTATTCAATTTATATCCTGCCCAGTATTGCAAGGGAAAGTAGGATGTCAAAAACAACAATAATTTAAAAAAGAAATAAGGAAATAATAAGAAATTCTAAAAACATTTTTAAAAACATTTTTTGAAAAAACAGTCAAAAACATACTTTTCTTTAAATAATAGTTTAAAGCATTAAGGGGGGGGGGGGAAACATTGCAGGACCAGGCATTGAACTTTTCATACCCCAACCCAAATAATAAGACACCAATAAGACTGGGTTTGGGGCCAAAACAGGCCATGACTTTATTGAATACAGATGAAAGATGTTGGGCTTGGGTATGGGCCAATCTAAATACTTCCGGCCCGCCCACTGGAAGTGACGCGTGGTCAATCCAGGTGGGGGTTCCTAAGACTTATATCCAATAGGGTGACTGCCACAGGGACTGCCATTTGGGGGAGTGCCTTCAGCCCTTGCCCCAGCTGGGCACACGGCCACAGCCACTCCCCCGTATCCCTTTAACAGGATACCCCAGCATTTGGAGGGGCAGGCGGAGACTACAACCTCCCCTCCATCCAAAACAAAGGATTGCCCCAATGCCCAAGCAATGGTGACAATAGCTATGGGGTAGGCAAAACCACCGGGTCAGTGCCAATTAGCCCGATGGGCAAATTCCTACCTGGCCCCTTGAAGGACGGCGACCACTGTAGCCACAGCAAAGTCATTGGCTATCAGCTTAAACCGAGGGTGGGTGGGCGGGGAAAGCCGGCGAAGGAACAAACAGGCTGAGTCCCAGGTACTGGCTGATTAAATGAGCAAGGGACAGATCCGAGGGAAGCCCACCGTTGGCTCCGCCCCTGGCACAGCCCAAACCCCGACCTGTGTTCCCATTTGCCAAAGCAGAGAGCAGGCCAGAATACAATTCCTCATAGGCAGAAGGGGCTTATGCTTCCTCCGCCAATCATGAAGGGCACAGCCAGTTTGATTTCCCCGTCAGGGCCCCAGTGAAGCCTCCTCCGTCCTGCAGTTCCACCATATGAAAAGAGTGAGTTCGCTTATAAAAACAGTTGTTGTTATTATCTCAGTGACTGGCATCTTGCAGTTATCAAATGCCTAGGGAAACAGGAACATTAAAAAATTTCTCTTGGAAATCAGTAATGACATACACACCACACTAGGGAGGGCATTTCACATACAGGGAGCCAACAGTGAAAAGCCCTGTCATGGGTCAGCACAAGCCAGCCAGCAAGCTTGCTTGCCCCACCTCCAGTGGCACCATCCACAATGCCTCCCTTGCCTATGGTAGGGTCAGCCATGGTAGATAGTTCTTCTGCTTTGAGTATAACTAGTGTTGGTGGCAACTGCAGTTGCTGACACATCAACAAAAGTTTCTTTTATTTTGAAACAAACTGAAGGGCAAACAACAAAGCCAAATTTGTTTGCTACCTAGTAAAACAACATTTTGTCTATTTAAAGTATTTTTTGAAGCAACTGTCATACAACATCCCCAAGGCAGTTGACAAATAATGTCTTTTTAAAATTATCATTAAAAATAAAATTAATTCAGCAACTTCTTTGCATCAGGCAAAAATAACTAAAACAATAAAATGACAGGCTGGCACAAACAAAAACAATTTTAGCAAATGCCAAACCACATAACTGTCAACACAGTACTTTTTTCCAGAGAGAAGAATGTTTCAGGAAGTGAGCTCAACAACAAAAAGGTCCTTATCATGCTGAGTTTTTGCCAACTGTAGCGCAGCAAAAATTATTATTGACTAGGCAGGGCTATGGGGCATTATTGTATGAGTCCAGGAAGAACAAACTCTTATTCTTTTAATGCTTGATGTATTACAGCATTTTAATATTTTTTTGGAAGCCGCCCAGAGTGGCTGGGGAAGCCCAGCCAGATGGCGGGGTATAAATAATAAATAATAATAATAATAATTATTATTATTATTATTATTATTATTATTCCCATTATGAGCCTTCTAGTCCCATATATTGGAACTATACCTATGCATGAAAGCATGGATTTGTACCTGGGACTGCACACATCCAACACCAATACTATTGCTGCTTTGCCAAAGTAGATGCCTGATATAGCTGTTTAATAACATGTGTTCAATAATCTGTGAAATGCAGAATGCATGAAAAATGTTGGGAAACCACAACAGTTATGGAAACATTCCCAGATAGATAGCCTGCCCTCTGGTCTTTATGATGAGTGAGCTTTTCCCCTTTTCCGCTACCTGTTATTCTGGCAGGTGTGAATCTCTTGCCTTTTTATTATTTAAAAAAAATGCTTTTATCTTCTGTTCATTCATCATGTCTGTAACGTGAGCTCTTTGCGCCTACGGAAATGTAGGTATCAATTTCAATAGGATTAGTATCCGTGTTGTTTATATCAAAGATTGCCATCAATAACTAATTACTGTCACCTTGCCATTAGTAAGGGTAACTGCAGGGAGGTGATTAAGGCTCTGTGAACTATATTAGAGTCAATTGATTAATTTGCTTCTGCAATGAATATCAGGTGAGGGAGCCAATGTTGCAAGTTCCTAATACTAATTTCAGGTTGACCAGGAAGAAAAAAATTCAAAAGGGTTTTTCCACCCTGTCGAAGCAATATGCACAGTGTACATTATCAACAAAGGATGTAACGGGTGTCTCTTTCTTTGCAAAGACTTGCATATGAGAGTCACTGTTTTCCACTATTAGCCAGCTGTTTGTTCACTGTTCCTTGCAGTGCTCCTCACCAGTGGTCTAACACCAAGAAATGGCACCACTAGCAGGTGCCCAAGGACTGTGGCCCAAGCTCAAGCAATTGGATTTCCAACCTTTCCTTGGTTGCAGAAGTTGGACATAAAAGAGAAAGTGGCAAAGGGAGAATGGAAATAGAGCATTATTCCTGTGGAAGAATGAGAAATTTGTCTGGGCTAAGCATGTGTTCTTCCTTGCCAAAGCTCAGAAGAAGAGTCAGCTCTCTTCTGATGCCAGACACCTCTGTCTTCCAACTCCCGTCTCCATCATCAGGGCTTTCATTTCTGTGATTATGTGATTATATGGCATTATACATGGAAAGAAAATGGTTGTGTAGAAACAGGACAAGCCATCACTTAAATTTTTCAATGAAACTATGTTTCAGTTTTAGTTTCATTGAAAAATTTAAGTGATGGCTTGTCCTGTTTCTACACAACCATTTTCTTTCCATGTATAATGCCATGTAATGCTTTACTCCTCTGAAGTAGATTATTAAGGCAGAATTCCTATCTGACCCTTATCTCTATGCCTCAGTAATTGTAAGATGCTAGGGTTAGAAGTTCAAGAAGGCCAAGTAACCCTCTACTCCTCCATCACATTATCCCATTTACGTTTTCTTTTTCCTGTAGATATCTTCAACATCCAAAGCCACTGAGCACAGCTTCTTGTCAGGGCGCTTTTTTTAAAAAAAAAGAAGAAAATAAATACATATTTATTTTAATTCACAAACTAATATGCTTCTTCATGCATGGTGAGTTTTTTTTTTTTTTTTAGTGTTCCTATTTTCTTGCCAAACTAAGGGTATCCAAAGCACCGAAGTTCAGTATTAGAAGGAATGATGATGATGATGATGATGATAATGAGAAACATTTTTTTGTTCTTGGTCAAGACCTGGGAAAACCTCATCGATCCCTGTAAAATGTTTAACTAATTCAGATCAACTTAGTTCTGGCCTAAGTGGCCTCTCAGGCTACAGTTCTCTCCAGTAACCTATTGAGCATTGTGCCATTGCCAATGGTTAAGACCTAGGCCGAGCAAGGTCTCCATTTAATTGAAAAGAGGCTTATGAAAAGGAGATGTACAGCCTGTAAGTGTGTTAGCCTACATTTGTTGCTCAGCAAAGTTAACCTCAGCTGAGTACTTTGGTTTACAGGGTAAATAGATAAGCCAAAAGTGACACTTTGCTGGAATAGGCTCAGTGGCCCCAGAAGAAAAATGCTTACTTTTTAGAAAATCAATTTCTGCACGTTTGGTCTCCTCTGATCTAACTAGCACATAGCACTATTTACTAAACTTCACAACAGCCATAACAGATAGAGTTATATAGCAGATGTCCTGAGGATAAATGGCTTCAATTACTTTATTTCTGTGGAACATTGAGAGTCATGCTGATGATGTTGCTGCAATGAGAACAATAGCATTATTTCCAGTTTTTAGACAGGATCAGCTGTGCCGAGGCAGCCTTTACACACTCAGTGCTTGTTATACATTGTGGAAATGTTAGTCATAGAATGGGGGAACTTGCCTAAAACATTTCCCATTTTTTTGTATGGGAATTGCAAAATATGAAGCTGAAGTTGGGGTACATCTCTCATTCAAACTGTGCCCAGCAAATGTGTGTTGTGTTCAGTTCCTCACTTCTTTAATAAGGGTGCACCCATATGGCAAGCTGGAAAGTCCACTGACATATTTCTAGCACATATCCAAGCCCTGCACTCCACATGACACAAACCCCTGCTGATTTTTCATTTGTCCCATCAATCCATGTGGCAGTTTTCAGTGGTTCGCAGAACTGGATGGGAACAAAAGGTCTCCATCATGCCATAAACAGCCTCCCAATTCTGTCTTCTAGAAAAGCAACCAAGGTACATCTCAATGTATCATGAGTAGAGAGCAGACACATTGTGGAAATGTGCTTACATAATTTGTGGCTGGTTGTTTGGTTGTTTGGTTTTAAAGCAGATTGTGAAGAGCTCCAAAAGGATCTCTCCATAGACAGCAGATGAAGAACAAAATGCAAAACCTGTTTAAATGTAAAGGCAAACACTTTGGGCAAACTATTCTAATGACATGTATACACTGATGGGGTCTGATGGGGTCTTACAAAGAAAGATACAGAATTTTGGAGTTATGCTGAATATCTCAATAAAATCATCAGTGTAGTGTATAACAAGTGTGGAAAGAACAGTTTATATTTTAGGGATCATTAGGACAAAGATTGAAAATAAACTGTCCCTTTGCACTGCCAAACTGGGTGGACCTTGGGCCAGTCATTGTTGCTGCAAAGCCTACCTGACTAACAGATAAAGTACCAGGCCAGACCTGTCCTTCAGTTCTCTCCCTGCAAGCTTACAACACTGGCAAATAGTACCACTCCGGCACTATGTTTTACACCTGGTGTGATAAGTACTGGATCTGTGTTCCTTTACATTCCTGCTACACTACACCACTGAAAGTATGGAACCTTTATTCCCATTGGTTCATACATTCAAACCAATAAAAATGGTTCAAGAACTCTCTGTCCCTAAGTTAAGAATACTGTCCTTCAGAACTGCAGAAACTGAAGTTTTTCTTACTATTGTACTGGTGTGGGAGTGGGACGAGTCATTATTCTCACAAAACCTCTTAATTAATCACAGTGTGGTACTTACCTGCATTTTATTCATCCTTTTTTCCACAAAGGTCCTCCCAACATGTTCCACATCATTAACCTTAATGGGCGACACATTAACCTCTTCTGACATCACACAAACACATGCTAGAATCTGAGACTCAAAATAAAGATGTCTTTAATTAATAAAGGCGCACAATAAACTTCATTATTTAGCCAGCAAGCAAGAATTAGAATTATGCAAAATTACGAGCTTAAACAATATTGTTTGACATGAGTGGTCTCCATTAATACACTGTTAGACTAAGTACAGATTACTGTGGCGGCAATGGATAACACTAAGGAAAGTTATAAAGTCTATAGTGGCAATTTTGTCAGCAGAATTCCAGGGATGATGGGGAGAGAGATTTCGAAGCAACTATCCAGGATGGCAGAAGGGAAGCACCTATTCAACACCTGCCTTTTCTTTGCCCATTGCCGGCATACTTACAAGAGAATAGAAACAAGATTGGCATTGTATGGCACATGTATTGCACATGTCCTTTTTGAAAACATAGTGATGAAAACATCTCCCACCAAAATAGAGGCTCATATAAATTAAGACAAATGAAGGGCAAGCACAGATCTTGTTGTTCAATATTTTAAGCCCTGCTACAGTATTGACAATTTTATGAGTTTGTTGATTGATGGCTACATATCAGATCAGAAATATTGGAAGAGCACGGTTCAGGGAATAAACATTTTGACACATCCAACAGTGAGAGCTTTAATCAAACTATCTGTTTATATGGCAGGTTATTTGAGATGTATAAAGCAAACAGATGCTCTGACACTTAACATTCGTTCTTGATTTAATTTTGGGGCATAACGTTCAACAAGAGTTGTAAAATTGTCATTGGGCCATGTCTTGGGTTTTTGTTTTTTTAAAAACAAAAATAGTTCAAGTATGTCAGCTAAGCAATAAATTGTTTTGACTTATCTACATAAAAGGGATGCATAATAAAAATTCTGTTGAGAAAACAGTCATTCCAATGAACATTTATATTCTGTCATCCTTGATTAAACTGAGTTCTAGTTCCATACCTAATCGTAATGCAGCTATCCATCTGTGCTTGAATTGCAAAACATTGTTCTTTTGGTCACACCCTTGATTTTGGCGCTATTACTCCAGAGTCAGCACTTACAGAGTTGCAGAGCTAAAACCTGTAATGACCTGTTAGGTCAGTACCTGTATTTGTTCAGAGGTAAAATTCAGGTTCCAACAATTCACAATCAAAATAAGTTTAAATTGATGTTAATGCAGTGGCCTGAAAATCACAAATCCAAAATATATTTAAATTAGAAATTTAATGCTGCTTTAAAAAGTTGGTAAATATTTTTTAGATCAAACATACCATTTTATCATTAATGTAGCCAATAGCTTTAGAGATAACACTGATGTGTAAGACCTGATCATAGCCATCTGTGCTCTAAGATATGCAGTCCTGAAAGCTGCAGGTATGGATGGGGGAGAACTTTGGTTCACTTTGCATTTTAATGCAAACTTGCTCAATTTGCACTCCCCACAAAATGCCGTTTTCTTTAGAAATTTTCACTTTGTTGATGCGTTTGGTAATGTGAACAAAATTGTGAACAAAAATGTGTGCAAAAGTATGTCAGGGGAAAGTATTCATAATAAAGACCCTTATGATCGGCCTTGCTCATATCCAAATGCTATTCATATCTGTATTCCACCAGCATGGCACCGCATCATGTGGAAGTGACTCCTAAATTACTTTCTCCATGTGTGAAGGGTCCCTTGGCTTTCCCCTAATGCTAGGAGCCTAGGAAATTCCTTTATAGTAAGTTAGACACATTTGTTCATCTAGCTCAGGGACATCCAACTTCCAAGAGACTGCAATCTACTCACAGTGTATATATATATATATATATATATATATATATATATATATATATATATATATATTGTTGTTGTTGTTGTTGTTTAGTCGTTTAGTCGTGTCTGACTCTTCGTGACCCCATGGACCAGAGCACGTCAGGCACTTCTGTCCTCCACTGCCTCCCGCAGTTTGGTCAAACTCATGCTGGTAGCTTCGAGAACACTATCCAACCATCTCGTCCTCTGTTGTCCCCTTCTCCTTGTGCCCTCCATCTTTCCCAGCATCAGGGTCTTTTCCAGGGGTCTTCTCTTCTCATGAGGTGGCCAAAGTATTGGAGCCTCAGCTTCAGGATCTGTCCTTCCAGTGAGCACTCAGGGCTGATTTCCTTCAGAATGGATAGGTTTGATCTTCTTGCAGTCCATGGGACTCTCAAGAGTCTCCTCCAGCACCATAATTCAAAAGCATCAATTCTTCAGCGATCAGCCTTTTTTATGGTCCAGCTCTCACTTATGGTTTACTGGGAAAACCATAGCTTTAACTATAAGGACCTTTGTTGGCAAGGTGATGTCTCTACATATATATATATATATATATATATATATATATATATATATATATAGGCAGTGATCTACCCATTGTTATTGGAGGATGGACCAGAGTTGTTGGTTGTTGAGCTTTTTTGGGGGGGGAATTGATCTGGGGGGGTGGCAGTCACCCTGGGACACATCTGAAACCCTAGGACATGCCTGATCTAGCTCATTACTGTCTACACCGTTTACACAGACTGGCAGCATCTCTCCAGGGTTTCAGATGTGGATATTTCTGAGCCCCATCTAGAGGTGCAGAAGGTGGAATCTGGGTGCTGCCTGTGAAGCATGTGATTTAACATTGAGCTGTCCCTCACTGCAAAAAAACCCCCAGCCTTTTGCAAATAAGAGACTGCATTGTTC